ACATATAATTAAAACAGCATTTTGTGTATAGGCAGCGGCTCTCTTAGTAGATGAAACAGGCATTAGCATGACGGCGGATGAATACCTTAAGGAACGAAACGAAAAACAGGTAGTTTTATCAAGTTTATCTAATAACGATATTTATAAATTTGATCTTAGACTAGAAAGTATTTATTTATAAAGCTTGAACGATTTCCTTTTGTTAAACCTATGCCCGGTGTCATGGTATGTTAATGTCCATAAATTAACTGGATATCCATCCATAAGATACTATAAGGTTAAATGACTTTTAACATTAAAATAAGCGACTTATAAAACATTTGAAAGCACACAGTATTCCAATAGCAGTAGGTATACGTCTAAATTGCATTTCAGAAAGTTCTTTATAACCTAATATTGTATGTAATGCAAATAGGTGGCAACAAGTTCATACCATGATGTTTTCGAGGTTAAAACATCAAATAATCAAGAACTTTTTGGTATGTTCGACAGTATTACATGTGGTGATGACCCAGATATCAAGAATGGTAAGCCAGCACCAGACTTGTTTCTTTCAACTAGAAAGAAAATGGGTAATCCACCGGTTGAACAATGTTTGGTATTTGAAGATGCAATTAATGGAATCCAAGCAGCGAAAAATGCGGGAATGAAAGTAAGTTTAAAATCAAGATTTTAACCAAATAAAAGCAAAAATGAATACTATTGTTTTTAAATAAATTAGGTTGTTTGGGTAGCGCATCCTGAATTGGCAGCAATATATCCAGGTGACAATGGAGCGGATGAAAAGATATTATCTTTAGAAAATTTTAATCCAGCAAAATATGAATTACCACCTTTTGATGACAGTTCATGAATTTAAAAAAAAGATAGAAAACTTCATTTTCACCCGAAAGTTATCTGTCACGTGATATGTGGCACATATTTAGCAAATAAAAGAATTTCTGTAATAAAATTATTTATATAAAATAAACAGTGACAATTCGTGACTCGCGAGTTAAATCCGAAGAGTACTCGAATTTAGTGATAGAAATCGCTAAATATTAGTTGATTAAGTTGACCAACTTTTTATTATATGACTGGTTGATT